TTTTTTTTGTTAAACTTTTTTTCATTTTTTTTTTTTTTTTTCAACATTCAACATTCGTTTTCAACATTCGATTTCGTTTTCAACATTCAACATTCAAAAAATTTTTTTTTGTTAAACTTTTTTTTTCAATTTTTTTTTTCAACATTCAACATTCGTTTTCAACATTCGATTTTCAACTTTCAACATTCGTTTTCAACATTCAACATTCGTGTTCAACATTCAACATTCGTTTTCAACATTCAACATTCGTTTTCAACATTCAACATTTGTTTTTAACATTCGATTTTCAACATTCAACATTCGTTTCAACATTCAACATTCGATTTTCATCTTTTAACATTCGTTTTCAAAATTCAACATTAAAAAATTATTTTTGGTAAACTTTTTTTTTTTCAACATTCGTTTTCAACTTTCAACATTCGTTTTCAACATTCAACATTCGTTTTCAACAATCAACATTCGTTTTCAACATTCGATTTTCAACTTTCAACATTCGTTTTCAACATTCAACATTCGTTTTCAACATTCAACATTCGTTTTCAACATTCAACATTCGTTTTCAACATTCAACATTCGATTTTCAACTTTCAACATTCGTTTTCAACATTCAACATTCGTTTTCAACATTCAACATTCATTTTCAACATTCGATTTCAAACTTTCAACATTCGTTTCTAACATCCATCATTCGTTATCGACATTCGATTTTCAACATTCAACATTTAACATTCGTTATCAACATTCGATTTAAACATTCAACATTTGTATGTTTTACATTTTGTATAATTATACTCTGTATGTACTATATATATGTATTGCACGAAGTGAGACTAGTATGATAAAATATTAAATCTGAATCTGGATCTTCTTAATCATCTCTAAAATACTAGAATATATTTATTTATTTTTATCTCATTAGCTTAATAAACCTTATTATAATTGATAAATACCGTACAGAATATCTCAGACAGTTATATAAACAAAACAACAGTATTCAATACAAATAAAACTAAATGCAATGCATGTATACAAATAAAAATACATAAAACTCCGAGCAGCCGATTCTATGAACTACTTCGCGTTGTATTATATGTGCCATATCAAATGGTTCATTCCGAGCCTTGTTTCGGTAGGCGAGGAAAGAATTTTTAAACGTTATAATCCATATTCATTTTGACTTTTTCTTAATCATGTTAATTATTATTTTGTTGACCAATCATTTCACAAAATGTATGAGAAATGTTTGAAATATGAATTTCAAAAAACAGAAAAACGACCGAAGGAATTCTAAAATTAATTTTTATTGTCTACACATGAACCTGAATCAATCATTATTCATTTTTCTATGATGAAATACACATTGTAATTGGCATACATGAAAATCTATCAAAATTTGTTGATTGAATAATTGTGGTTTGCTCAACATTCAGTGGCAGGTATTTCATGCAATATTAAAGACGACTGAGATCTAATAAACAATCAATCTGTTGTTAAGTAGTTCATACGAGTTAAAAGATCTGAGATGAATGGCTGAAAATTGAAGTTGCTACTGGGAAAGGATGATATGTTGGATAAGAAGAGAATTCATTGGGTCATCTACCAATTTAACATCCCATTTCGAATGAAAATGAATACTTTTAGATTATTAATGCTTTCATGATGAAATATGTATTGACATATCATACCTTAGTACAAGTATGTCGAGTAACATTTGTGTACCTTTACAAAAAATATTTAAGAACAAGGCTGTTATTCGGTATATCGAGAAAAATGATATATAATGATATATTTGAAACTGAATCTTTGGTGTGTTATATAGTTCAGTAAAATAAAAGTTGCTTTCCCTTGAAACCGTTCAGTTTGGTACATCTGAACAAAACTGACAAGACATTTGTGCTGTTTACCTTTAATAGTTGTATACCTGTAATCTTAAGAAAATTTACCAAAATCATTGTAAGATGTTCACATTTTCTTTGAAAGTTCTTCCGAACAAACGACAAAATCAGGAAAAAATTATTCGGGTAAACCAGATATATTATAAGAAATATAGTATACGTTTCTGAGGAAAACGATAGAGAAAATGAAACTTTTGTGGATGGAAATTTTCTAATTTTGACCGAAATTATTCAATTAGCTTTCTTATCAGTGGGTTAAAATTGGAAACTATATTCCTCTTGTGGTTATTCTGTTGAACGAATAGTCCAAGGAACTGTACCATTATAGTTTATCTAAGATAGTTTCAATTTGTGAAGACCAAAATTTCTTTTTTAAACCACCTGCTGTACCTGTTGACTTATAGAAATAGTCGTGGTTGTTATAAGGAACTTGCTCTACTCCATACTCTTGGAGTGTTATTGTCCGTCTGATACAAGCATGATGGGGAAATGTTGATGATTTTAGCTGTATATAAATGTATTTTTCTTTTATATTAAATGATTTTTTAGATGTTATGTTGATAAAGCGCAAATGCCCTTTTTTAAGCGCAAATGTCTAAAATTTTAAGTGCACTTAACCACTAAAAAAGTGCAAATCAAAAAGCGTAAACGTCCCAAGACGGACCAAACTTTATAGTCCGAAAACAATATTTCTTTTACCAATTGATATACTTGCAACTAGTTGAAGTATGTTATCAGTTTAATACGAACGGACATTAATGCTTTAATTTTTTTTTCCAAATTTATTAAAATAACTAAAAACGTGTCTAAATAAGTAGATTTCTAAGATAAAACGACCTTCAGGAGCGTAACTTTTTGAAAGTAAAAGTATATATGTATCTGTAATGCTTAATGCATCCGCCCTGGATATATATGCATGTGTACGCATTTTTTTTTTAACTTAGAGTCAGAAACCTGTAATTCAGTGGTTGTCGTGTGTTGCTGTGTTACATATTTGTTTTTCGTTCATCATTTTCTACATAAATTTATAGGCTGTTAGTTTTCTCCTTTCAATTGTTTTACATTTGTCATTTCGGGGTCTTTTATAGCTGACTATGTGGCATGAACTTTCCTCATTGTTGAAATTTAAATTAGCATATTTAATGAGATTAGATAATGAGTTAAACGTTTTCGTAGCATCAGATCTTTCACGATCCTTTCCTTTCACGAATGTTGAATGTTGAAAACGAATGTTGAATGTTGAAAACGAATGTTGAAAGTTGTAAATCGAATGTTTGAAAAGAATGTTGAATGTTGAAAACGAATGTTGAATGTTGAAAACGAATGTTGAATGTTGAAAACGAATGTTGAATGTTGAAAACGAATGTTGAAAGTTGAAAATCGAATGTTGAAAACGAATGTTGAATGTTGAAAACGGATGTTGAATGTTGAAAATGAATGTTGAAAGTTGAAAATCGAATGTTGAAAACGAATGTTGAATGTTGAAAACGAATGTTGAATGTTGAAAACGAATGTTGAATGTTGAAAACGAATGTTGAATGTTGAAGAACGAATGTTGACTGTTGAAAACGAATGTTGAATGTTGAAAACGAATGTTGAAAGTTGAAAATCGAATGTTGAAAACGAATGTTGAATGTTGAAAACAGATGGTGAATGTTGAAAACAGATGGTGAATGTTGAAAGTTGAAAATCGAATGTTGAAAACGAATGTTGAAAACGAATGTTGAAAACGAATGTTGAATGTTGAAAACGAATGTTGACTGTTGAAAACGAATGTTGACTGTTGAAAACGAATGTTGAATGTTGAAAACGAATGTTGAAAGTTGAAAATCGAATGTTGAAAACGAATGTTGAATGTTGAAAACGAATGTTGAAAGTTGAAAATCGAATGTTGAAAACGAATGTTGAATGTTGAAAACGAATGTTGAATTTTGAAAACGAATGTTGAAAACGAATGTTGAAAGTTGAAAATCGAATGTTAAAAACGAATGTTGAATGTTGAAAACGAATGTTGATTGTTGAAAACGAATGTTGAAAACGAATGTTGAATGTTGAAAACGAATGTTGAAAGTTGAAAATCGAATGTTGAAAACGAATGTTGAATGACAAAAACGAATGTTGAATGTTGAAAATCGAATGTTGAAAACTAATGTTGAATGTTGAAAACGAATGTTAAGTTGAAAATCGAATGTTGAAAACGAATGTTGAATGTTGAAAACGAATGTTGAATGTTGAAAACGAATGTTGAAAGTTGAAAATCAAATGTTAATAACGAATGTTGAATGTTGAAAACGAATGTTGAATGTTGAAAACGAATGTTGAAAGTTGAAAATCGAATGCTGAAAACGAATGTTGAATGTCGAAAACGAATGTTGAATGTTGAAAATCGAATGTTGAAAACGAATGTTAAGTTGAAAATCGAATGTTGAATGTTGAAAACGAATGTTGAAAGTTGAAAATCGAATGTTGAAAACGAATGTTGAATGTTGAAAACCAATGTTGAATGTTGTAAACGAATGTTAAAAGTTGTAAATCGAATGTTGAAAACGAATGTTGAATGTTGAAAACGAATGTTGAATGTTGAAAACGAATGTTGAAAGTTGAAAATCGAATGTTGAATGTTGAAAACGAATGTTGAAAAAAAAAAAAATAAATAAAAAATTGAAAAAAAAAGTTTAAGAAAAAAATTGTTTTGAATGTTAAATGTTGAAATTGAATGTTGAATGTTGAAATTGAATGGTACCCAAAAAAAAAAAAAAAAAAAAAAAAAAAAAAAATTTGAATGTTGAATCTTGAACTAACTTGACATCCGTGGGAAAAAAAGAGAGTTTACAACAAGGCTAAACTTACCAACAATGAAAAACACTGGGAAAAACGGTAAAATCTAAACTGGAAGAAGCGCACCAAAACTATATTTCACAAATATTGGAAGTAGATGAAGACAGAGAAAGAAAAACACCTGTTGTTTGAAAAAAGTGTTGGCAATATGTTAAAAGAAATAGACTCATGTGAAATAGCAAGACTCAGTTCAGATAGAAAAACAATGGAAGACAGTAAAAGTAAGGCAGAAGCACTTAACCATCAATTTCTTTTCTGCTTTTACAGATGAAAATAATCAAGCCAATCAGAATTAAAAGGCAACCCATGGCCTACTATAAGCCCATTAGAAATTACAGAAGAAGGAGAAGAGGGGGTAAGAAAGCCTATAAGTAACACCAATCCCAAGAAAACATACGGACCAGATAACATCACGACCAGAGTCCTTAAAAAATATGCTTCCAGTATATCGCCATATATAACAACAATATATTACAAAAAACGCACGAAGAAGGCTCCTTCCCAGACAACTGGATAACAGCAGTCATCACAACAATATTTAAGAAGGGAGATAAAATAATGCCAGTTGATTACAGACTTGTTTCATTGACATCAGTTACATGTAAACTCATGGTAAACATTATTTCAAACACACAATGCAACATCAAGATAATTATGAAATCCTAGTAGATTTATACCTACACGGCTTCAGGCAGAAAAGATCATGCGAATTTCAATTAGCTACAACAATCGAAGATATAACCAAACATCTGGATAACAAAGAGCAAGCTGCTATTTTAATTTTAGACTTTAACAAAGCGTTCGATGTAGTACCACACAAGCGCCTCTTACGGAAACTAGAGCAATACGGAAGAAAAGACAAAATACTTGAGTGGCTAAAAGCTTGGCTCAAGCAAGTTCAACAGTGTGTAGCAGTTAAAGGTGAAACATCTAGAAACGCCTTTGTAAAATCAGGAGTACCTCAAGGAACAGTCTTAGGTCCATTGATTTTCCTTTTGTACATCAACGATATTGTTGATGAAATCCAGTCAATATTTCGCCGTTTTGGAGATGATAGCCTTTTATGCCTGGCAATAGATTGTACGGCTGACTGCAATCAATTATAAAAAAATCTTGACAAATTTGTTGACTGTGATATAAATGGCAGATTAAATTTAAGCGTCAAAATGCTATGTATTAAGAATGTCCAACAAGAAAAAACCTATAACGCATAACTACCACATGCACGTCCAAATTTTGAAAAATGTAGACCAAAACCCTCATTTAGGAGTTCAGTTCACCAACAACCTCAAATGGGATATACACATCAATAACATCTTAGCTAAAGCAAATAAATCATTAAACTTCATGAGAAGAAATATCAATAAATTCCTGGACGAGATTAAGAAAAGATCGTACCTAACTATTAGTCAAAATGTAGAATATGCCAGCAGTACTTGGGATCCATACCAGGAAATCACATAAAAAAGATAGCAATGGTGCAAAGAAGATCAGCCCGTTTCATTAAACATCAATACAATAATAAAAAAATAGCCATAACTTTACCAGATTTTATAGAACATTAAACAGGACAACAAGGCAATACCACAAACATAAATTCAGAATTCTTCAAAAATCAAAACATCAACCGACACTTTAAAACCATCAAAGGCTGGAACAGGTTATCAACACAACTATTAAATAAAGATGATGCGGACGCATATAAGAACAGCCTCACATCCTATTTAATATAATCATCACGCAAGAAAGTGATGATTGTAATCTGCACATGTAAATATGTTTAATGAGCACCATATTGAATGACTGACTTGGTACTTGCGTGATGGGTCTTAGATCTTTTGCATTTCAATGATGTAGATGTAGATGTAACGTTCTCGTAAAGCGTTCGTAAGTTTTTTTTTCTTTAATGAAACTGAAGATAGGGTTTCATGATACTAACCTCATACTAGTTATTCACTCGGAACTCCTAGGTTGGTTTGTTTGTCACACTAACAAGTTTAGATGAAGCATAGCGGAGTCCCGAGGTTTGCCGATGGATGGTTTTCAGACAACGCAATCTTCGATCAAACCCCGGACCTTCTATCAAAAAACTAATTGAAATATGATTTTCCAAATCAATGCATTGAATTGAATAACACAATCAGGAAATACTGATTTTTACCGGCTGTGGAGCTTTAATTATTCAATTATGGACACTGCAAAACGGCGCATGCATTAAGTAAAAGATTCAATTGTACTGATTTAAGGTAGCACAATACAAGATATATTATTTTATCAAAATTTCAATTTTGCCATATATCATAATTGCTTGATGGAAAAAAGAAGATCTATAATGATTCCTTTTTCAAACGTTCATAAGTTTTTCTTTTTTCAAATTTGTGTTATAATATTTACAGGTTTAAAACATCTAAAAATTGATAGAAATTATGTGAGCTGTTGCCATTCCTTTGCGTCTGTCGTTGTTCGTAGTTCATTCAATGATCAATGTTATTATTTTAGATTTGAGCCTGTTTTTCAGATACACTAAGCAATATGCCTTTTATATTTGGCTGTCCGTCTGGCAGTGTAATTATCTGACCATTTCCTCATATTCATGGTTCACTTGTCATCACAACGTTATTGAGTTACTAGTAATTCTTTTTCCTTGATACTATAAGCAAAAGGTCAACTATATTAAGTGTATGGAATGATTGTAAGGTGTACATGTCCGTCTGGCAGGATCCTTCAAACAATGACCATATCTTCATGGTTCATTGGTCAATGTTAAGTTTTTGTAGTTGCACCTGTTGTATCTTTTTCTCAGATGCTATAAGCAATAAGCAAACTATATTTAGTTTACAGATTAATGTAAGAACCAGAGATTGATTGGAAAATGGCACTTTACTTCGTTTTGATATTTTCAGATTTAATATGATGTTACTGTTTACAATGTGGAGGTCAATATAAAAATAAGGAGATGTGGGATGATTGCCAATGAGACAACTATCCACCAAAGTTCAAATGAAGCGGACGTAAGCAATTATAGGCAACCGTACGGCCATCAACAATGAGAAAAACGTATACCGTACGGTCGGCAATAAAAGGCCCCGACATGAAAAATATGAAACAATTCAATTGAGAAAACTATCGGCCTAATTTATAACAAAACAATGTTTACGAAAAACAAATATGACAGACGTGAACAAACAACAACCACTGAACTACAGGATCCTGACTTGGGACAGGCACATAAATAATGTGGCGGGGTTAAACATGCTTGTGAGCACCCAACCCTAACCTGAGACAGTGGTGTAACAGAACAACATAAGAACAAACTATAAAAATCAGTTGAAAGAGGCTTAACTCATCAGATGGATACAAATAGAAATACATCTAACAAAAACACAGAGTGGACGTTTGTTTTTGAAAAGTTTTACTTTTCCTGTTCAGAATGTGCCCTTATAGGCTTTAACGACGACACTAAAAAAACGTTCACAGCCTCTGATTGCTTCGCATCACGGTGCGAAGCTTTTAGTTTCATACAATATTCACGCCATCTTGAAATTATTACGTAACAAAGATCGGTTCTCATTAGTTTCCTTATGATTTTGGAATGATTCTATTGGCTAGAATGAGATATAGGATTGAAAACATACCCCGGACAGGAGAAGATATCATATACGGCAAATTTACAGTATGGGTATTCAAGATCCGATCCAATACCCGATTAATGACTATTTTGCTCAGGCAGTTAATTTTGAATAATTGATAATGTTGAAGTGATATGGATAAATGAGTGCCCAATTTGTATTTGCTTCGCACCACTGTTCACTCGATATTCACGTCATCTTGAAATTATAGCTTAACAATACAATACAATACAATACAATACAATATGCTTTATTTAAAAACACTCCGTGACATTGACATGTGAAACAAATATTGGTTCTGCATCATGATTTGGCTAAGTTTATATTGGCTACAATGTGATATTGAATAGAATTGGGACATGACAGGGGATATCAAGTACGGTACATAAGGAATAAAATTGCAGTACGGTATATTCAAGACCCAAGAAACAATTATTGCTACGTGTTGACGTAAGTTATTGTAAAGCAAAGCACTCCATACCTTTTTAGAAAGGTTAAACTTGTTTATATAGATACATTGACATGTAACATGCAGGCATCCGAATCAGTTATTGTCATGTATTGATTGTTATATATAATGTTTGGCAAACAAACATTCCCCTACATTTAATTCCTGATACAGAGTTAATAAGAAACCTTTTGTTAATTAATGCAATAATATAAATGTCTAGACTATCACGGTAGATATAGTGTCCGGCTGAGATCGTGTTTTTTTTCGAGTGAATCGGTTTATTTTTTTCGAATGTAGATCAGGTTTTTTAGAGTGATGTAACAATCGATCAAATCGATTTACTCTTGTTTCGCGAGTATAATAGTTTTTTTCGTGTCTGTTTATTTTATTCTGAATGCTTTACATGTTCTGAGCACAACCGACGCCCAATTTCCTTGTAGTTCACTTATAATTCATTGTTACTGTCATTGATTTTTTGAGAGCAACATTTATAACGTCCGAGTTTTTCAACAAAAAGTCCGGGTTTTTCGAATAAAATGTGAATAAAAAAGAAGACAATCTTGGGCTTAAGAACTGCATTTTTCTAGTTTGTAAATGTAACTTAGCGAATGACAATACTATTGATTAAGTCACAAAAAACATATTACTTTGTTGATCAAATTTAACCCTTTTCAATTTAATGATATCTTTCTACTCTGAAAACATTTTACCATAACCTTGCAGTATTACGGTATATAAGAAATCACTGGGTCCTTCTTAATAGGTCTTTAGTACCGAGTACAGGGACTCATAATCTTTTCCTTTTTAGTTCATGCTACCTTTGTTTTTACAGCCAATAATAGTTTATGATTGATATATATATATTACAGTGACGAAAAAACATAGAAGCAAGAAACTAAGGAAAAGCAGTAAAGAAATCAGACAATTCAATATAAACCCAAATATTCTATTTAAAGAGCCCCCACCCCCTAGCACCCTACCCCCCCCCCCCCCCCCATAACAAATATTACAATAACAGTAGAATTGAATAGAATATCCAATAAAAAATGAAAACAACAATTTATACATTTCATGCCTTCGAAGCGCTTTTCTGGATATTCCATTCGGAACGCTCAAAGCCGAATATTTGAAAGCCGAGAATGTATAAGATCCGAAACATTTGAACACCTAAATGACAAATAAAGGACATAATTTTCAAATTTATAAACTGACAATG